TTCTAAAGAACTTAAAAATGTCTCCAATTGGAAGCTCTGATAGCATTTTCAATGGATACGTCTGTAAGCTAACTCACCAGCATCTCCTCAGTCTTACTCCTACAGTCCTGGTCTGGTTTTGTAGTAGCTGTATTTTTTCCAGCCCCCCAGCCTCAAATCATGAGAGTTGTATTTCATTTCTATTTGTGCCTTCCTCTCCACAAACCAATATTCCAGTCCTAACAAATTAAGCCCAGAAAACTTTTTCATCTACATGCTTTGGCTTTGACTTTCATTTTACTACTCTTGTTTAAGACTTTTATTTTTAACCTGTCATTTGCATTATCATAGCTCTCTATGAGCTAGTCTTTCTACAGTCAACCTCTTCCCAAAAACCTTACACATCATCATCAAACATCACAAAAGTCTTTACTGCATCCTGTGGTTTATATTTAAAAAATACCTAAGGTTCATCTTAGAACATTGATCATTATCTATAATCTGTCCTCTTTCTGCACTTACAAATTTACCCACCAATACACCATTTCATGTCCTTGACTCATACCAGATTCCATGCTGCGGCCTGGAAGCACACTGAATTTTCACTGACATTTTTTCCATATGTGAAATGGTCTCATCATAGCATAGTGTCTCCTGTTGAAAAACATCATTTAAGTTCAAGTCCACTTTTATTAAGAAATCTTTTCCCATCTTTCCACAGATACTGCTTCATCAGCTGGACTTAATCTCTTTCTTCCCTGAGCACTCATAATGTTTTATTGGTCCTCTATTATGGCACTTAATCCAGTATACTTTCGTAGTTTTGAAAGTCCCCTTTACTAGTAAAATTGCAAGATTGATGCAGTCAGTCCCTGCCTCTTATATCTTTTTTTATCTTGAATATTATTTAGCACCACTCAAGTACCTAAGTGTTTTTAAGCTTACAATGATTCATTGTAAAAAAACATTGCAAAAAAACAATGACTGATTTAATAAATGAATGAATAAACAGTAAGTCCTCCATAAATGTTACTATGAAATAGTTCAATTCTATGACAATACTTTCTTTTGATAAAATCTTCTGATACTTACTATAAAAGCAAGTTAAGGACTGCAATAACTTTTAAAGCCATTTATTGTATTATTAAAGGAAAAATAACTTCAAAGTGACAGATGTTTTTCATTTACAAGCTAGAATAGTGAGTGAGGTTTTCTGTGAGAGAGAGCCTGTTATCTCTATTTGATTGCACTGTCTGCTGGCTCTCTATCATATTCCTTGTCATAAGCAAAGGAAGAAAGATGAATTAAAATGCTTACTGAGGGCATAATCACTAGGGCTATAGGCTTATTAACCTCTACTTGTGGACAAAAAAAATGTTTCTAGGAGAACAAGAGCAAAATTTCCTCATCGCATCATCATCCTATTTAGTATGTCATTTACTTCTTGTTCTCAGTGTGAACATATATTCACATGCTCAAGAAGCAATCGCAGGAACACAATAACATTCTATTTACTTGGAAACCTATGTTTTAAAATTATTTGCTTGCATCAATGTAATGCCTTTTTTGTGATTGCAGTTGTTTTAGTTTTACATAGTGCTATTATTGTAAAAGGTTGTAGGAGTGTATTGTCACATTTTTAGCTCCATATGCCATAGAGTTGTTTGACATTCATTGAGGTTATTTATCTAGAAAATAACTAGAAAGGTTAGTTTGACATTTAGTCATTGATACACTTTTTAAAGGACACATATGATTTACATAATATTTTAATTTTTCAGTTGTGTAATGTTTACTCATTTTGGTTTTAAAAAGAAGTGATAAGTAACTTGGATCTAAATAATTTACTTAATTATGAATATCTATGGATTTCTATCTTTCTTTTATTGTCAACAAAGAGAATTGTACCAATATCTTTATATTAGGTTAAGCCTAAATATTTTTCCATTTCAATACATTGAACTAATAGCTAAAGAAATTAGAAATTCCAAGGCAAATATATTATTCAGTTGGTATTCCAGGGTAGGATTATGTTGAATAGAACTTCTAACTCTAAGTTTAAACTCAAGTAACCCAAACAACCGATTTATTGATTAAACTCTTCTGACTTGGCATTTCGGAATATGTTAAACAAGTGCCCAAACCTTTGGATGAGTAAGATATTTGTCTGTGAATGAAGTTTAAAAAACCGAGGTAAACTTTGCAAAAACAGACCCACAATGCCACCCCACCCAGAAACAGCCTGTATCTCAGAAACAGCCTGTTAAGAGAATGTAGTCAGACTTGTAACTCCTCAGAATGATATTCAAGCAGATAGATAGTTGGAAGCTCTTCATTACAGCATCTGTTCAGTGTTTATAGCTCTGTCTGCAGACTGCTGAACACCCTCAGTGCACCATAAACGTGGAAATTACACGTCCAGAATGGCAATAAACTCATTGGGTGCTGTGTTTGTTCTCTAGAGTTTTTCAGCCCCTTGCTTCTGTTGGCAAGTCTGCTGGATTTTTTGTTGCTGTAGAAAATATTAGATTGTTTGTAGTTTTTATAACTTTAGTGACAAACAAGGAAAACATAACAGCAATGAAAAAGTGAAAACATGGGCACTGAGATTATTGTTATATTTGAAAATTATAGTCTCAGAGAGAGTTATAAGAGAAGCAACAGTAGAATAAGTGAGAAAAATGAATAAATGAATGTTGTTTTCCATAGAAGCTTAACCTCAAATACCCTGTGTGGGTCAGCTTAGCTGTGTTGTATATCATGGAGAAGCTACAGGTTCTACGAAGAAAGCTGAATGTTATAATTATTAATTAGAAGTATATTTATAACTGTAATAATCTCATAGTGCTTGATCAATTCTAGCCAGTAAGTATGCAACTTACTGGTGAAAACAGCACTTCCTGGAGAACCAATCCAATTTAGACCAAGCTGATTTTTCTCTCAATAGCAGGGCCCCAAATAAAACTAATTCCTAAATTCATAATAATGAAAGGGATATTGTCAGCTTTTAAGGAAAGCATCTGCAGGCGTGAGAAAGTGATCAGAATGTATAGCAACACCTGGATGCTACAGAGGTGCTGAGCCTTGTTCATGCAACATCCAGCCAGCTTCCTCGTCTCCCAGCGGCAAGCACTGTGCCCAAAATCAAATGGAAGTTTCTGAAGGACCATGATGAAGGCAGGAAAGTAAGGAACATGGAGCTGGATCGTGATGGATGGTCGGACAGAACACTCATAAAACCACCTGCGTCTACGGCCACACCACCCTGAACGCGCCCGATCTCGTCTGATAAAACCACCTGGGATACGACAAGGAATGTCTCTTAACTCCTCTGAACATTCCAGTTCAAAGAGTGTTTTCTCCCTTATTTTCAGTTTGCTTCCTCTTGTTCTCTTCCTCTCAGTGAAAGTGGTTATGCTGTTTTACATCTGGACTCTGTGGCTATGGCCTATGTTTTTTTCTCATTTAATGGCACTACTGGTTTGCTCTCATGCTTGCCAATAATTCCCTTCAGGAGGCTGCTAAGGGGATGCTGGCCAGCATGAAAAGCCATAGCAAGGGGGAAAAAAAGACTAAGCGACTTTGATGATCAGCATCCTCTGAAGAACTTGAAGTTGATGCAGTGAGAAGTAGGTGTAAATTATTGCTTCATCCTTAATGCTGAAAAAAAATAGTGATGTCCTCATTTGAAATAACTATGGATTTCAAAAATATATTTTCCATGGACTCCCTCATCTTATTATTGAACCAATAATATGATTTCTTTAAAGATGCCTGGTGTTATTTGGCAAGTAAAGACATAAAACTGAGGCATATACATTTTTGGACATATTTTAAGAGGAGAAATTTCATGCCAGCTAAGACACACAAAAAAGAATGACTAACAAGTGAAATTATACTTGTGAGTCACACAGATTCACAGAGGCTCAGTTTCCTCAACTACAATAGAGAGAAAAATAACAGCCACCCCCCTTACCTTGCTGACTTGTTCAGGCAAGCGGAATAGTTTTAAAGCAATGTATATGTTATGGTAATGACTCCTAATTCTTTATTTTAAAAGATTATTTCAAAAAGTATAATTAGTCCTGTTAATGGGGAAATTGGGGAAATTGCTTATTTTTGGACAATTCGATTTCCTTTAGAACTTCGAGCATCCGTGTCATTTTCAAAATTGTAAATGTTACATGGGTCTCAGAAGAAAATGAGTCATGCAGAATTTAACATGTGCTTCTTTGCAAGACAGAGTCATGAAGAAGGTAGGAAAGCATTTGCTACACAAATCTATCAAAAAATTAACAGAATGGAATAATATGGGCTTTGATGGTCATGCTGACTCTCAAGTTTGGGCCTCATCACCTTTATCTGGTCCTTATTTCCTTTGGCACTTTATGTCTAGGAAACCATTTTGATCGTGGCCTTGTAGTAGAGATCTACTACAAGATAAAGATGAAACATCTTTATTATAACATGCATTAAAGTTCAATACATAACAGGGACACGATATGACAGTTGCTTAAAGGAAATTATTTCAGGACATATTTGGTGCTCAGTTTCAGTCAAATTTTGAAAAATCTCCCCAAGTGCTTAGTTCCTTTCTCTCATCCCAAATTAGTAACAATATGACTCTAGAGTGATCACAAATCAGAAAAGATGTTCACTGAAGTCTAAACTAAAAATCAGAACGAGAGTTTACATCTCTGACCCAGATCTCAGAGAGGTGTTGATGTTTGTTAGAGCAAGGGCCCGTGTGAAGAGAAAAAATTACTGGCAAAACAGAGGCTGCAGATTCTAGGTCAGAATAAGAGTATGATCAGCTGGTTGTTGCCTCATGCTCCTGGCTCTTTCAAAAGAATGAAAACAAGAAGACATTTCTACTCCAACAGAAGGTAAGATTAGAGAAAAAAAGATTAAGAAAATATAAAAACCACTGGGGAAAGTGAAGACATGATTTAGTCAAAGAGAGAGAGAGGGAGAGGGAGAGAGAGAGGGAAAGAGAGAACAAACCGGGCCAGATTACTCACTTGGCATTCCCTGCCCCTGGCTTCTTTCTTCGGAAAATGTTGAGGAAAGTGTTGGAGCGGCAGGGCAGCTTGCCGTCGCCGACGTGCATGCGCACTACATCAGAGGTGGTGAAGGCACTGCGGACGTTCCTCTCGGGCTTGGCAATAATGATGTACATCTTGGGAGTGAACATGCACCCCAGGGCCACCGTTACACTGAGGCTCACTGCAAAGCAGGTAGTGATGATCTTGTAGTTGCTCCCAAAGTATATGGGCACAAAAGCCAGCCAGATGATGCAGGTGGTGTACATGGTGAAGGCGATGTATTTGGCCTCATTGAAGTTGGCGGGCACGTTGCGGGTCTTGAAGGCATAGTAGGTACAGCTCATGATGAGGAGTCCATTGTAGCCCAAAGGGGCCACCACACCCAGGTTGCTGGTATTGCAGATAAGGTAGACTTCCTTGATACTTGGGTATGACAGAATGGGCATGGGGGGCTCCATGATGATCAGGGTGACCACCAGGGTTAGCTGCACACTAATCAGAATGGAGGCAATGATCACCTGGGCCCAGGCACTCATGAACCTGGGCTTCCGGGTGCAGATCTTCTTCTTGCTGCCGGCGAGGATGCGCGCGATGCGATTGGTTTTGGTCACTAGAGCAGAGTAGCACATGGCAGAGGAGAGGCCAACCAGGAGGCGCTGGAGGTAGCAGGATGTGGTGGTCGGTTTGGCAATGAGAGTGAAAGGACACACGTAACCCAGGAAGATGCCAGCGAGGATAATGTAGCAGAGCTCTCGACTAGAAGACTTGACCACTGGTGTGTCCCGGTACAGCACGAAGATGAGCGTGACAAACACAGTAACAAGGATGCCCAGGCAGGAAAAGGCGATGGCTATGATGGATTCTATATTGCTCCACTCAAGGTAGCGCACAGGAATGGGTTCACAGCCTGTGAGGGGAAAAACAGTTGCAAAATGCGTCCAAGATTTCTACTGATCAACAATAATAGGGCTTTCTAGTTACCAGAGGCATAGTTAAATCCTCGTCTTCCATGGCTTATGTGATCTTAATGCTTTTCAAAACACTTTACACTTATACAAATAAACACACCATTGTTTTCTCTGGAAAATCATGTTTCAAACCTAATTGTATCACAACCCTAATGTGACATACTTGAACCTATACAAAGAATCTTTTTCTTCCAACACCAGCATCATAAAAGGATGACACTCTGTGGGTGATACTTGGTTCTACACTTTCAGAAAGAGAAAGAAAATGGAGTTCAACTGTTTCCAGGGAAGGGTAAATGGTGAGGATGCATTAGATAAGTTAGTAAGAAATAAACTAATAAAATTTTTATTTTTATGTAAGTATTGTCTAGAAGTAAGTCCAGCTCACAGACAAGCATTTTCTTGGCCAGAAGAGTGTTTTAAACATATACTTTGATTCTCTAGAAGCATTCACATTCTGTTTACCACATATTATATTATTTATCTTAAGTCTCACCCCTTTAGTTATGCATGATCTGTGTGTGACCGCTGTGCACCTCTTAGTTATCAGCTTCTGGTAGACATACTAAGGAACGATGACATCTCCCCTCACCCATCTCTTGAAAAAAGAGGCAGAGCTGTGGTCCTAAATGTCTGGCTAATCTTTGCCTTTGAGATAGAGAATAAAATGTCTGTGTATTTCACACACTGAGAAAAAATGTCTCAGGTCCTGGAGACAACTCCTTAACAGAGTTCTGTGTTTGGTCTAGGCCAGTACTTCCCAAATTGTAAGAATAAAAATATTTCCATAAATTTAGGAGAAGACACTGTTCTGGAGCCATGGTAATAAGGAACCACCCACCAGAACCTGCTACAGGCCTGTTCCATCAATCAACAGCAGCACCTCTTAGTGAACATGTTTTTGCATGTCAACCAATCAGTGGCAGCACTTGCTTCTGATAATCGTCCAATCAGGAATAGACACACATTTTATAAATGAATGCCATCCATTCCCAAGCACAAACTCTTGGCTGATCATAGTGGCCTCTCTCTCTTGTCTGTCAGGGGTTTGTTTACATAAAGGTCTCAATCTCTTCCTGGAATGACTTCTGCTTCTTATCAAAAGTCACATTTTAATTTTAAATCTTCTCATTTCCTTGGTAAAGTTTAGAAAGATGAGTAGATAGATAGATAGATAGATAGAATAGCAATGACCATTAAGGAGAACTTTTGATATGACACAATCAAAAAAATTAAAGTATTTAAAAGGGTTTGTAGACAAATTAGAAAATAATACATAGTCAACATTCAGCTTTTTAACTGGCATACTGAGATTGTAAAATAAGATTCAAATTCCAAAGTAGTCCTTGTCAAGGCCTTGGTAACCTTCTGAAAGCAACCCTCTGCATTTCTCTTTTTCTATGTAACTTTACCTGAAATTTTAAATAAACTATTCTGTCTCCAATGCTTTCATTAGAGAAGAATACCACATTTTAAATTTGTAGAACACAACTCAGATCTATGAAAGCTGAATTAAGACCGTGAGCAAAATTAAGAGCTATAATTAATGGTTTTCCTAAACTTCAGACATGGAAGCTAAACATTCTCTGCAAAATTTAGGAGTTTTATTAGATACTTATTGTCCCACATTACAGATTTATACCAATTAATTCAATTAATTGTTAACCTCATGGAGGAAAATGTTTAAAAGCAGCAGATTATAAAAGAGAAGATTTAAATAACCCAGTAGTGTAAAATTTTAAAGATAAAGGTAGAAAATGCATTACTTAAGGCAATTTCAGAAGCTTTTTAAAGTAAGGATTTAAAATTATAAACTAAGTAAAGATGAAAGATAGACTTTAGGAAACCTTCAAAAAGTTCTGGAGCGGACTCAACAACTGAAATGGGGAGGACCATATCTTCTCTTCCTGTGCATAGGCTCAAACCTGAATTAGGGAAACTAAACCAGAGAATGATATTAAAATAAATAATTACTGATTCATAGATATTCTATATGCAACTAGACAGTTTGATAGAGTATAAAAGTAAATAAACTAGAAATTAGTGTAATTATGAATCTTTAGGTAAAACAATAAAAAAGCACCTCTATTCTCTATGATTTGGGAGCGTGTACACAAAAAAAAACTATAAAACTGTAAACAGAAGTGTCATTTAAAGAACCAATGTTCCACATTAACCAAAGCTCAGAAGGACGGGACAGCTACTTAAAATTTGCCCAATGACTTGACAGAAGACAGTGGCACCAAAAATCCCCTTGTCCTTCCTCTGAACTTCTAAGGGAAGCAACACTCTCTTCTTGATAGAGGTGCCTTTATGTCTACCAATAATTTCTCTATTGATAGAACATCAGATACCTTGGCTTAGTAAAACCACTCAAACAGTGAAAAAGTTTTGACATGCTGGAAGGGAATACAAGTATTCTAGTGTTTGTAACAGTAGCAATTTGTCATAACAGTACCTCAAACCAATTTACCTATGACTCCCTTATGATTGTTTTATCTCTTGTGAAGATCTTCAGTTATTTTCCTTATGTGGAAACTGGGCTTTTCAATGCCAATCCAGGGCAACCCAAACTGGCATCCCCTAGGCATTAGAACTAAACATTAATGTTTTGAATAAGCTTCTTTAAGTATTTCTTCTTTTTCTCCTTCTCCTCCTCCTTCTCATTCTTCTTTTCTTTTTTCTATTTTTTAGACATTCTAAATATGAGAATCACTAGCTTTGATATCTTTAGGGAATTAGCTATAATATCCATATTGTCCATATATATAATATAATATGTAATATAACATATTTTGTTATCCTGTTTTGAGGTTTAGAGAGAAGAGTTGCCCAACCCCCAGGTGTATTTGAAAATCCCAGGTCTAGAAGAGGTGGAGGTAACCTTCCAAATTGCTGAGGAGCCTCCCTGACCCTCAGCATCCAAATGGAGAGGACATTATGGGAGCAGGGCATACGATGTGTAAAAACCTGAGAGCTTAAGAACCTGACAGTTTCCATGGTTAGAGGTAACCCCGAGAATCCAGAGCCATCCGACAAGTCAGTTTTCTTCAAGCAGACTACAAATCACTGAGCAAAATCTAAGACAAATGGTCATGATTCTGGCCTGATGACCAGGGATTATTTCTAATAGTCAAAACAAATTTTGGCTCACCCATAAGATCCAAATGCAGTGGAAGAAGCTAAAATTTACTATTGGACTTATTTTCAAATAGGTAAAGATGAATTTAATGTGAATAAAAAAATGAAGGCCATAGTTATTCTATTCAAAGTATCTTGGGCATTTGATAACATTTACAGTAATACTTTGTGATTACCTAAGACTTCATTGAAATGCTTTCTTTAATCTTATTACATTAACATGAATTACCTACAAGGTAAAATTCTATTTATTATTCAATGCTCAACTCAAATGTCTCTTTCCTGTAAAGGTTTTTCTCTTCCCTGGAAAAAATAATGGCTTTCTTATTCTGTGTTCACATGACATTTTTCACATATTCTTATTATAGGACTTATACTGTAATTAACTGTTTTCGTGTCTAGTTTTTTATGAAGCTCATTCTCCATGATATAAACCTTGTTTTATTTACCCATATATCCCCACTTGCTCAAAAAAAATTGCCTGACATTAGGCAGATGAATAATATAAAAGTAAATGAATGAGTAGATAGCATAAGAGGTCACAACAACAATTGCAATGAAGAAAAATAGTTAAAGTGAGTTAATTTTTATAGTTTAGCATTTTATATTTTTGATGATTAAATTTAGTGTAGTCTGGCTTTCTGCAGAACTCTTTTACACTATTTGGCTTTTTAAAAGAAATGAGTAGCATTGAATTATATATAATCAGCCCATGAATTGTTAAACTCCTGTTGAGTTACCATGTTATGGCAGAAGAGATCCCTGTTTAAGCATCATAAAAAAATAAAGTATAACATTTAAATGCTGAATTAAAGTGGGCATTTTTCCTAAAAAGAAAATATGAGAAACTTATTAACAGATATAAAAATCACTTCCTCTAGGAAATACACCAATTTTTCTTCATAGCTAAAAAGCATATGCTAATAAAAATAAAAACGTACTTCTAAACATCTTTTACTCACAATATTAGAGTCTTTGGAGTATATATGGAGAGTAGCTACCTCATAATTTTAAACATATTTTTACAAAGCTCTGTCTTCAATAAAAAACACCATTTCCCAGAAAATAGTTTCTCATTTTCACTAAAATTTATTTAAAAAATAAAATCTACCTACAAAAATAACATACCTAGTTAAAGGCAATGCATTTATTCTTCTGAGTTTTTCTACTGATTTTTGGTATTCTGTGCAGGTTTTTTTTAAAACAACTACCGTTCCCATAGCAACCACCAACACCACATCACCATGTGTGGCACCTTCACTCTGAGCCTGACACCACACAAAGTAAGTGGCCAATGAGATCTCATGTTCCATCATGGATCAAAGCAAAGCGATGAGAAACAACAGATGGCAATTAACAGTAAGTATAAACTCGGGTGTGAGGTATTCTACAAGATCCTACACATAAGATTTGCAAAGTAACCTGGACAGATGGGACACTTGCCTGTCGCTACACAAAGACTGTCTGAGCTGCTGCTTGGCTCAACTCATTTGAATATGCAAGTGACCATTGTACATGTGGTGGATGGTCGTGCACTACATTCTTTAGAAGGACAACTGCATTAATATTCATCTGTTTATGGTCAAGGGGAATATTATTTTATTTGCTAAGTCAAAGTGCCCTGATCAATGGTGGTGATCATTTGTCAGTGGGCCAACAAGATACCCGCAATGGAAGATCTCTACAGAATAAACATATGACTTTGAGTTTCACTATTATGACATACTAGATGGTTCTGTATTTCAACGTTTTAAAATAGGATAGAAATTCTTTTTCGTCTATGAGTTATGTCCCAATTAATGTGAAAACGGAGGAATAGGAAAAGATGGGGGAAGCTGCACAAAGTGTAGACAAGAAAAAAACTGTCATACCCCAAAGCCTGGAGCTCTGATATCTCAGGTCAGCCTGAGGAAGAGGCTAGTTTTGTCTTTGAGCCTCTTCCTAGTCAGCAGTGGTCTCCGTCAGGTAGCAGGATCGACCGACTGTGAAGTCAAACCCAGTTCTCAAGCCCAGGGGTGATCTAAGGGGACCTGCTTACTCGAGACAAAACGTCCCAGTAGGAAGCACACATGATGAAGGAGGATAAAGATGTGAAGAGAGTCATGGAATGAGTGGGAGAGGTGGCCTGTGTCCAGAGAGAGGTTGGATAACTTTTTCCAAGTCGGTCCATTGCACTCAACTGCGAGATAAGCTGTGCAGTGAGACAGCGTTAGAACCAGGGACAAAAAGCTCTGGATCCTCATAGTGGCTTCCTTGTTAACCAACTGCATTGACCTAGTTGAACGTGGGTGAGTCCCTTTTTCTTTTTAATTCTCTCAACAGAACAAATATTCATTAAGAAGCTATTATAGTCAAGGTACCAGGCTATGAGCCAGAGAGTAACATTTCTGTAATGATAGGGCAGGAGCTAAGGGCCTCTGACTCTGCTGGGTCCCCTCTCAGAACAGGTGCATAAGAATCTCTGCAGGTGGGTAATTCCTGGGTAATTTTTAGGTGCATTAAAGTTGAAAACCAGTTTTCAGCTAAAGAATAAAAAGATGAGTGAGATACAGTTTGTACCTTCAACAATATCCTGATATAATTTCCTTTTCTTTAAAAAGGCCTCTTTTTTTTTGGTACTAGGTGATTTCTAAAAAAAATTTCTGGTACTCATTTAGTTTACTGTCTTCTAACAGGAGTAACATTTTACAAAGCACTCTCACTTAATAGGTATCATTTTAATTATGTGACCTCGTTCTATTAACCCAGCCATTTTCGATATGCTTTGAATAAGCTACATAATTTCTTAGTTTTATATTCTTATTTAGAAACAAGAAAAAAGGGAACAAGAACCAGGAATGTTACCCTCTCCGACGATTTTCATTAGTAGCAGGGAAGGCACAGGGTCAGCCGTTTGTGAAGTGGGCTCTGCTTCTAACTATTTGCATGACTGGGCACACGGATTCACCTCCCCAGGCCTCAGTTTCCTCTTTCTCAAGTGAGGTTAGGGGGTGGATTACTAAGAGGACACACTAAGAGGTCCTGTTGCTCTTAAAATCTGGGCAAAGTATTTGTGAAATGCATCTCCCATTGTAAACCAGGGGCTGTGGAAAACAAAACACAGATTATCTGAGTGTTGCTTTCAAGGGACACGTAAGCTTGCACAATCCATCCCTAAGAGTCTCATTGATTTTACTAGTGAAACATTTTTTTATGTGCAAATATGAATTCAAGTGATTAGAAATTAGCTTCAAATAAAATGTTAAAACAGAAACAAAACTACTGGTGTACCATAATACACTTTTTTGTTTTGTCTTATTTTCAAGTTTACTCTTTATTATATTTTTTTCCATTACCTTATATTCCCCTCCCCTAGCAATCACCACCCTGTTGTCCGTGTCCACAAGTCCTTTTTCCTGTTTGCTCAGTCATTCCACCCTCTAACCTCCTCCCGCACCAGAATACCCTTTCCACACATTTTCGTTTAGATTTAAATAAACTTTCAGTGTAGGGCATGGGACATTTGTAAGAGGCTCGTGCGTGCCCTTTGATAGGAGCACTGGAGAGTGCACACTGTAGATGAACAACAACAACAACAACAACAAAACAGCGAACACACTGACTGCTCACACTGTGAACAGTGGCCACGTTGGAAAGGCCAGCAGTCAGAGACACAAGGTTTCCTACCTGTGAGCTCCGCGTTGGGCCACCAGCCCAAGTCACAGGCCTTGCACGTGAACTCGTCCTGCACGAACTCGTTCTCTTTACAGGCCGTGCAAATCCAGCAGCAGCTGACTTCTCCTTTCCGGATGACCTGCAACAGAGACAATCATACTGTCACACTCCTGAGCACGGTTTCTCCAGAAGGCTTCTCTCGCAGGTGAGGACTGGTCTCCACACTGTCATGAAAGGGTAACTTTCCAAAGCATTCTATTTGCTGAAAACGATGAAGTATGTGGATGGAAACATACCTAATTACCTGAGAGTTCAGATGTGAGTTTTGATTCATTTCATGCTGGGTTTGGAGGTTCTTCAATAATAATTTGTTTCATAAAGAGAATTGACTACATAATCTCCTACACAGTTAAAAATGAAACAGTTGACATTTATCCTTATTTATATATATATGTACTAATTATTCTCAGAAAGTACAAATTAAAAGTACAGTTTTCTTCTCTGAAAGAACAAGAAGTGTTTATACACAAAAGTTTCTACGTAATAAATCTTATTAACTCATAAAAATGGAGGAATTATTGATTTTTTTGTTATATTATGAAAGTATGAGCAAATTTATATACATGAAAACAGAATGATGGCTAAGAAAGTATAGCCCTCTTACTGGCCTTGTTACTTGCTCTAGTGAATTAAAAAGATGACATAAATTATTGGAAGAAAAATTACTAGTCCAAAATTCCTGAAGTATTGCATATTATCTGAGCAGTTTAAACTTTCTCCATTTTCAAATTGTTTGGTAAGCACTTTTTCACTTGCACAATACAAAAAGAAACATCAAAACACACTGCATTTAAAGGGTTTCTTGTAAACAGCACATAATTAGATCTTGCTTTCATCTTCAGTCTGACAATTTCTGCCTTTCCGTGGATGTGTTCAGCACATTTACATTTATTATCATCATTGGTGTGGTTGCATACGAATCAATCACCTCTTTTTTCTGTCCGTCTCGTCTTCCCTTTGCTTCCTTTCCTTTGTACTCTGCCTTCTTTTGGACTGAGAATTTTTTAGCATTCCATTCTATCTCTAAAGTTGATACACTTGCTAAACCCCTGTGTTGTCTTTGTGGGTTGCTGTCGATTTGGAAATGTGCATCATTAACTTCATGTTAATAGAAGTGTGTTACGCAACTTCAAGTCCATTGTAAGATCCTGACAACAATACTGTTCCCCTCCTGTTGGGTATTGTCTTAGTACCTTTTACTTACACATATTTACAACCCCCCATGAAAATCAGTTTTGCTTTAAGCAATCATCTTTGAAACACGTTTTTGAAATAAGAAAAAAATATTATGTTTTATATTTACCCAAATTGTATAAACTGATATTATTTTCTTCATCTTGATAAATATTATTTAACACTTATTGTAGTGCTGATGTGAGAATTGTGACTGCTTTAGCCCTATATTTATTTGAAAAGTCTTTATTTTGGCTTATTTTTTGAAAAAAAGATTCACTTGGTAAGAAAGTTTTAAGTTGATCATTTTTCCCTTTCTTTTTGCACTTTAGGCCATTTCATTGTCCTTGGAAACAGGTCTCGGTTGAGAGATGTTTGGTTTTTTAAACATTTTAAAAACGTCACCCCTTCCTTGGATATGGTTCCTGCACAGTCTGCCATAACTCTGACTCTGCTTTTCTGTATCCCACAGAACAGTTTGCTGTGGCTTCTATTAAGATTTTCTTTTTAGTACTTGTTTTTAGCAACTTAATATCTTCTTTGTGTTCAAATTCTTGGGGATTTATTGAGCTTCATGGATTTGGGTTTACATTTTCATGATATCTGAATATTTTTCAAGTCATTATTTTTTAAAAAAAATTTTCTGGCCTGTCTCCTGTCTTTTGGGGTCTCTGATTACACTCACTACACAGCTCTCAACTGTACTCTGGAGGTCACTGAGCGTCTGTTCATTTCTTTAGCTTTGTTTTCCTTCAGTGTGTCTCATTTGCCTATTTTCCATCATTATGTTTTTAAATTTACTGATTTTTACTTCTATAATGTCTAATATCTGTTGATGCCATTCATTGATATTTCATGATGCCATTATTGGTATTTCTATAAATTTTAGTTTTCATTGTATGTAGTTCCATTTTGTACTTTTTTATATTTCTATTTGCCTTCTCATGATATTCATGCTTATTTTAAATTCTTTAGTATGTACTTAAAGTAGATATTTAATATCTTTGACTGTTAATTCCACCCTCAATGTAATTGCTGGGACTATTTCTATCGTTTCATTTTTATTTTGGTAATGCGTCACTCTTTCTCACTTTGTCATATGTTTAAATTTGTTTTGACCAGATGATGACCATGCTATACACAAGGTGCACAATGCTGGAGTATTTTTCTTGAAGAAGTATTGCCCTTTGTTCTGGCGGGCAATTAAGTTTCTTGTGGCTCAGTTTGAGTCTTGTTTTTAACCTTTTGGGGCGAGTCTATAATAGTCTCTCTATTATGAATGGTGTAGTCTCATTACTTAGGTGCAGCCCCTCTGGGGTCTCTACCTAATTTTTAGGGCACTCAACAGGGTATCTCCACTCCGACTTATGAAGACCGGGACCATTCCTCACTCCATGTGGGCTCTAGGAATCCAGCTCCACAGTCATTGCTCCTTACCCGGACATTTTGAATAATTCTATTGTAACTCTAATTTGTGTTTTAATCCCCCCAAAATTGTGAATATTTTTATTATTTTTATAGTTTTATATCAGTCATACAGACATTTTTGTAGTATACATTCAATAACTGAATCATGTATTTTTTCATTCCCCCCCACACAGGAAAACACTAAAAATGAAGCTCTGAATCATGATAAAAGTTTTGACATTTCACAGAAGCTGCCTTTCAAGGACCAAGGCTCACTAGGGCACAGGATGCGCTGATTCTTTTCGCATCCGGTGTACCTGGATCTATACTTATCGTTAGTGAGACCAGGAGGCCTTCGGCTCCACACGATGCCATGATTCAGTTACTCATGCCTGTAGCAGTCTTGAAGCATTTATGCCGTGGGAAATCAAGTGTTCACTTTATGACTAAGTTTCCGAAGTGATTTGTAATGGATTTTTTAAGTTAAGGTTTTATTTAGAAAAAAGGAGGAAAGGAAACAGCATCAAGAGAATGTAATGAAGGAAAGGTAACTATACATCAAAGGAAACAGGAAAAAATTTCTCCAAAGGGAAATACCCAAGAGGCTATACAGGCTCCAGAAACTGGGTCTCCCCTAATTAGGGCTGCAGGAGAATCAGCTGCGGGGGGAGGCAGCCCTGCCCTCCTGCAGCCCCACAGCCCCCTGTGTGAGAGCTCGGAAGACAATCAGCTCTAATTGCTGGCATGTTTTTCTCTACCTTCACTATGAGTTTCTCAGAAAAAGTGGCCATATTTAAGCTTCCTTTGCATTCCCAGTGCTGGCACAGTTATTGGCACGTATTTATGACTCGATAAGGTATATGAAAGACAAGAGGGAAATAATATAGATAAGATGTCAAGAGAAGAAATGGAAATAAAGAATTCCAAGAGAATAAAAAATAAAAGGAAACTGAAGAAAGTCTTGTAAAAACTAAATACAAATATCAGTTTAGGGAAATCCTACATTGTAATTTATTATAGGAAAAAAATAATAATGGTGTAAGCCAAATGATCACGAGAGTAGACATATCTGAACTGGCTACGTGCATTCTGCACTCTGTACCAAATGACACAGAATTTCCCCCCATGGGATAAAGTTGATCATGTGCATTCTTCAGCTAGAAAATGGCTTCAGAAGGGATTAGTAGCTTGTGCAAATCTCAGCCACATTATCTCCAATTATTTCCAAGAGTGAGGCTCTTCCTAGTGTAATAATGGCTGTCAGGGTGATATGTTATGCTGAGAACCAGCAGATATACAAGGTCTGGCGGAAGTAAGGCCTGCTTGAGTGTGATTGGGAGGGTAATACTATGGGTGCAATAATTTATAGTTTTAACTTGAACATTTCACCTGAAATGACATATGGTGTGCTGGAGTGTGATATTGTCGTATTACAGAATTACATACTTATATGATTTTGTAATAAAAAAGGGCATTATTTGTGCTGGACCCTGTGTACTCACTTAACCACCCTTTGTTCAGTGGCTGGTGTGCCAGACGCGGTGCGGTACATGGGGCCAAAAAAAAGGAAAAGACCTGGTCGCTGAGATTAAAAAGCTCAAAATCTAACATACTGGGTTAAGTGCACTGCTAGAAGGAGGAATGAAATGCTTATTCAGAAAACACACCTTTAATCAATGATTTAATCATTCATTCATTCATTTGCAGTGTATGTTAGAATGCCTACAGTGCGCTAGGAACTACATGAAGACTAGAAATAGTCAGTGAACAAAATTAATAATATCTCCATCCTTCAGGAGCTATCATTCTAGAGAAAGCCTTTGAGAAAAGTGCAGCAAGAAAGAGGAATAGGGTTCAGGACAGAAACCCGGGTGAGGCAAGTATTACATCTAGGGACCACATGTAAAGAGGCATGCATGTTTCAGGTTGAGCAAGTACCAACCTTGCACTTGCAGGACCTTGAGAGTGAGTGCTTCCTTAAAGTCTGCACCACAGGTACCTCACTTGCCCCACCTTGGTCCTAGTCCTGATAGGGAGGCACCTGGAATAGGGGATCGCAATTTTGCATATGGCGGTCAAATAAGGTCCCACTAAGACACTGCCGTCTGCAAAACGGCTTGAGAGAGGGAGAGAGAGTACGCCCTGAATGCCTCTGAGGGGAGAGTGTCCTAGGCAGCGGCAACAGCTGGAGCAAAGACCAGGTAGTAAGAGCACCTTGTGTAGCCACTCCCTTGCCTTCCTCCTCTACTTTTCCGTCTGAATGTTATACCTCAAAATGTTTACTTAAAAACGTAAATGGGTTCTGCCTCTGTGACTGCCACCCCCAACACACAGCAGCCCTGCTGCACTCCCGTCCACTCTCGTGTGATTGGGGACAGGTTGGGTATGAAGCTATAGTGATCACCAAAACATTCAGTAACCAAGAGGCCAAAGCACAGAAAGTGAAAGTGTAGGTGTTACTGAGTGGTTATGGAGAAATCAATGCTAATTCCACAGAAC